TCCAGGTTTTGATGCATTGTAGTAGAACTCTTCTAGGTACATATGCAAAAGACAAATTTTAGAAAAGTGTCATAGTTAGCAAATGGGGGGCGCCGCCCCCAATGGGGTAACTTTGACCACCTAATGGCAGCCTTGACGGGGTAACATTGACCGGCTTGGAAATTAAGTTAAAATTACCATAGGTACCTATATAACATATTTAATGTTTGATACGCCTATTAATGTTTTTTTCTTTATGTTTCAGACTCTACAGAGTCTTATATATGGTAATTTTAACTTAATTTCCAAACCGTGTTTCAGACTCTACAGAGTCTTATATATGGTAATTTTAACTTAATTTCCAAACCGGTCAATGTTACCCTGTCAAGGCTGCCATTAGATGGTCACATTTTGCCCATTTGGAGGCGGCGCCCCCCATTTGCAAACTATGACACTTTCCTAAAATTTGTCTTTTGCATATGTAACTAGAAGAGTTCTACTACAATGCACCACAACCTGGAGTTATTTTACTAAAAAATGAAAATTATTTTACCACCCGGTCAAAGAAACCCCAAGAGCTGGGGTAACAAAGACTATCACTTTTTTTGAAATTACATCAAAACTATGAGAGGCAGGAGCCAGCAATTTATGGTGAGTAAAGTTAGAGTATAGACCTGTATTTTGCATGTTTCAATTTAAGTTTAACTTATCTAGTAAAAAAATGGCATCATTTTGAAAAAAAAAGTGGTCAAAGTTACCCCATTTTACGGTACCGTACATACCTGCATTGTACCTCCAGAAGATTTGGTCAACACACTTCTCTCTAAATGCATGGTTACTTCTATTTTTGGCAAGATATCTTGATAGTATAGTGGTATTAGCATTGAAGAATAGGCCAAGTAAAGCCTGTGGCCAATTCTTGTAAGTTTATACTGTTGATTCTAGCAATGTAATCATCACAACAACAAATGTGGTGATAACCAGCCATCAATCCTTCACTTGGTGAAACCAAATGCAGCATGAATTTAGCTTCTTCCCTTTCTGACATCTCTCCAGAAGTACATGACCTACAAATTCAAATATTGTAACAAAATCTCATCTTTCATAGGTGATATTACAAAAATTAAGGGCAAAATGTGCTGATTTCCTCATTTTCCAGTGAAGAAGTTAGAGCACGGCTAATTGAATAGGGTAAATTGTGGGCAATCAAGGGAGTTTTTAGTATCATTCATGAGCAGCTTCAGCCAAATTTTCCAGCTTGGTTGGGAAGTTACCGTAAAATGGGGTAACTAAAACCATTTTTTTCCATAATTGATGCCATTTTTTTACTAGCTAAATTAAACTTGAATTGAAACATGCAAAATACTGGTCTATACTCTAGCTTTACTCACCATAAATTGCTGGCTCCTGCCTCTCATAGTCTTTATGTAATTTCAAAAAAAGTGATGGTCTTTGTTACCCCAGCTCATGGGGTATCTTAGACCGGGTGGTAAAATCATTTATATCTTTTGGTAAAATAACTCCAGGTTTTGGTGCATTGTAGTAGAACTCTTCTAGTTACATATGCAAATGACAAACTTGAGGAAAGTGTCATAGTTTGCAAATGGGGTGCTGTCCCATAATGAGGGTAATGTGACTACCTAATGGCAGCCCTGATGGGGTAATATTGACTGGCTTGGAAATTAAGTTAAAATTACCATATATAAGACTCTGTAGTCAGAAACATAAAGAAAAAATATAAATAGGCTGTCAAACATAAAATATGTTATATATGGTAATTTTATATTCACTTCCAAGCCGGTCTACGTTACCCCATCATGGCTGACATTAGGTGGTCTAAACTCCCCCATTTGGGGGCGGCACCCCCCATTTGCAAACTTAGACACTTTCCTAAAATTTGGCATTTGCATATGTAACTAGAAGAGTTCTACTACAATGCATCAAAACCTGGTGTTATTAAACAAAAAAAAAATAAAAAAAATTTAAGAGGGTACTCTGACAGGCTTTAAATAATAGCTTTTTTTTTGTGGGTCACATTTTTAATTTTTTAACCTATTAGATATGCAAACTTTTTAAATCTTTCTATTGTGTCCTGTAGCCTCAGTATTAGGCCATTAATGCCTATTGACAAAATTTTTCTATGTCAAATAAGTTTTTGAGTTTTGAGGGTTTTTGTTAAAAAATCGTAAAGTGGTCTAAGTTACCCCGCCGGTCTAAGTTACCCTATTTTACGGTACTTGTTGTGCTCAGACATTACATATAAACAAATTTTTTCAAAGGCAGAACCTAACAGGCCCTTAGAGGCTTAGACCACTTTTACAAGTGGCCTTCACCTAATTCCCAATATAGCTTGATTATACTTCAGCAACTGTAGAGCAGTATATCCTCATCCAGTCATCCTCATGATATGATTAATTTTACTTTACAATTCCATGGTACAATTCCAGAAAGTGGTTGGTCATTTAGCTCCACCTGGACAAATGAAGTGCTCCACACTTGATGGTGATGGGGGGAGGGGTATGCAATTCGAGGCCACTTTTAGCTCTACCAGGACAACAAGGGTCGGAGGGTGCTCCACACTTCAGGACAGGTGGGGCGTGGGGGAGCAACAATTTGTGACCACTGCATGTGTCCTAATTATGAAGAAAAAGCCAGTGATTTAGATGGTGGAAGGCTGTAGTGGACCCAAGGGCGCATGGCAGCATTCATAATGCATATATACTAGATGACCATGCACATATGTAATTGAGAGAGCAGTGGCCAAAACTAAGGATGCACTCCAAGAAGAAGCAGGATGGCAGTAGCGGTAGCACAGCTGTGGTTTGTAGTTTGTAAAAGTGCAGACTGTGCAGTACAGCGCTGCAGCCCCGCCTGCAGGCTTGCAGCACCCAAATAAGTGCCTTTTCTTCAATAAATAAGTGTCACGTTCTTCAAATTAGGTGCTCTTGCAGCTGCAGGGCCTTGGAATTGCATCCCACCTTGTTCTTGAACAGACTACTGCTGGTGCTGGACTGGAGCACTCTGCCCATCCAGTGGGCAGTGGTTCTAAAACACAAAACACTACCTGCAATTCATAGTGGCAAAGCAGAGAGTTTTTTAGACTCCTTCAAGTTCAATTTGAGTCCTATAAGACTATAAGTAGACCAGCAAAGTATCATGGATACCAGCATCATCAATAATCATACATAAGATATTGGTTCAAATCTCAAATAAATGAGGAAATTTAAAATGAACTGATTGTAAAAAATTGATAGTTTGCCACTTTGCCTACAATTCCACCATCAAAGGGAGACCAGCTAGCTGCAGACTGCTGGGCTACCTCTAGAGCATGTGCTCCTGTTTTTGCCAACGCACTCCAAAATTTCATACCTACATGGAACATGGTCATTTAGAAGGCATTTTGAATGCTGCCATGCCGCCCATGCGGCATGCGCTGACAGCGCTGTAACACACTTCTCCAGGCGCAGGCTGTCCCGCTCATTTTCAGGGCATGTGCTCTGATTTTCACCATTCACTATCACTACTAGGCACTGAGTAGGCAGTAGGCAATCAAGTAACTTGTAAGTAGGTAGGTATGCATATTTCATAGCTTCAAAAGAAATTTTTAGAAACCAGATTACTTTCAATCTATTGGTCTATTTCAAAATTTTGTTTAATATGAAATTAGGCCTATCTATAGAAGTATATAATTAATAGGTATATATGATTAGGCTGGTTGCTGCTGGTATCCAGGGCAGGATATTTTACTGGTCCTACTGGTCTAGCCTATTCATTATTCATAAGGTTCAAAAATGTATATTCTAACTTTAAATAAGATAGGTAGGCAAAAAACTAAGGCAAGAAATAGTTTGTCTAGCAATTTTGCACAAAAAAAAAACCTATTACAATAGTACTTGAAACTTGACAGAAGTTACAAAACAAATAGTACCTAAATACCCGAAAAGAAACCTGGCAGTGGCAAGTGGCAGCCTTAGCCAGTTGGCTATATATACGTAATTTATAATAAATGTGTTATGTGTATGCTTCTAGTTCTAACTTCTAAAAGTACAATACATTAGAAAACACATTGTTAATAGTAATTATACGTGAATATACGGAACGGAATCATATACCTATCTAAAGTTAAGAATTTAACTTTACGATATTTGTGACTTCGACAGCAGCTCACAATCGTCACTTTCATGAAATGTCAAGTACCTAAGACTAAGTAGACCTAGTACTTGCACCATGATTATTTCGATACTTTTAAAACTGATCAACTTTTAAAATATTTGCAATCTACATTAATCTCAAATCCTCAATAAACGTAGTATATTGCCTAGGTAGGCCCAGCTCTCAATTTATTCAATTACTTCATTCCATTGCTTCATTAAAAACGAAGCCACTACTTAAGTTACAAATAAACAAATTCAAACTTTTTACTTCTCCCGCCAAATTTGATGGCAATTAATAAAATTTTCGCTATGATTTTTTGGATTCGTAAATTAAAACATTATCAATAACAAAAATTTTATATTCTTCTAGATCAGATTTTCTTTATATCAAATTTTTTAATAAAATAAGGTGAAAATGTTTCCCTTCTCCTTTCTTTGACCTTAGAGTTCCGCGCAGAACAACTCGGGCAGTCCAGCAGACGACGTTTACAATCATCAACTAACAACCGTTGACTTGTTGAAGCAATTTATGCATTGAATCGTCATGTTATTGGGAAGATTTTGGTGTTTTTTCATATATCTAGAGTGTTTTTTTATCAGTGCAGTAAACTTTGTATTCTTAATTCGTGGGCAACCTTCTCGGAATTTAATTATCAGTCTTTGGTCCTCATTTTTGGTGGAGGAAACTTTACCAGACGAATGAAAGATCTAAACAATGGGTTTTGAAGTAAATTTCAGTTTTAATTCCTGTATTTATAGATGTTTTCTCTTTCAAATACATGTTATGTTTTGCTAATTGGTAAATTTTCTTTACAGCTTATTTCCCACAACGATTTGCAGTACTTTAAATTACAGACGTAACGAGGCTGAATGAGTATGCCGTGGCGTATGGCACCATCACTATGGGAAGGCAAGCCTATTGTAAGGTTGCATTTCGAAGACTTCAATAATTAAAGATATCAATCTCAAGGCTTCACCAACAATATGGACCCATACAGTTTTTTTCAGTATCATTCACAGTCTGGAAGCTATGCGACTCCCTTGCACCATGTCGATGAGCATGTATCGCATGATTCACGTCCTAATTTATCAAAGAATGTTTCAAATTTCCGTTTGGACCATGCCAACCACACTACGTCAAACAATGCTGCATCTCTCAATGCTACTCAGCCATCATCTCAGGACTATCTTGCCTGTCAGGGCTTCCCCGACAGCACGGCCAGAAGAGGGTGTTCTGAGGCATCGCTTGCTAGCAGCTGCATCGACGCAAATAACAACTCAGCGATTCAAATAAAAGGTGCCGAAATTTCTAATAAAAATGAGTATGTTCAAGAAAACATCCCGCCTGCTTCATCAATGTCCGATAATCAGTATTCGTTTTCGACAAAAAATATGTTAGGTAGGTACGGATCTTCGTCTACTCAGCAGCCAGCAAAATACAGCGAGGCCACGCACCCGGGCACGACTGAGCAACGGGTACGTCATGGAGACTTTAAAGCAAGCTTTATGCGTTCAGGATCTTCATTTGTTCCGCCTGTTAAGTCAACACAACAGTATTCATCATCTCAAAGTAATAACATACGCGGAGGCTATCAACGAGAAGTAGTTTCATCACAACGAAAACCACTCGCTGAATTCCCTCAGCAGCTACAGGCCGGGTACAGCAGTGAACACGTGGATTTTGAAGACAACAAACCCAAAGACTCATTAGGAATCAACATGAACGATCGCTCAGCTTTGCCTCTCATTCGTGTTACGAGTATCAATGTAAACAAGGACATCCAAGGACCGTGCATGAAGAATCAATCCTCCACACCGACAGCCGCCGATGCACGTGGCCCTGCCGGACCAGCAGCAGCGATGATGACGAAACACGGCAACCTGCGAGCTGTTGCTGAACTGCGTATCCTTTACTTCTATACTTTGCCATTCAATGTCATTGCACCTAATTTTACATTACAGTCGTCTCTTTCAAATAAAATGCATTGGGATTCACGAGAACGTATTGCTGTACAGGCTGTGTTTAGAACTACAAACCATGTAAGAATTGTTTATTTTTCAGCTGTTTGTTGCTTGTAGGCCTAACTGAGGATTTTTGCGCGTTTAGAATTAAATAGTTGGAAATAGCATAACTGAACACACGATATCTGTCGACGTTGTGAGGGCTACGTCTTTAATCTCAAACTCATGTCATTGTTCTAACTACTTTATTGATCCCACCTTGCTTGTTCAGTGTTATTTATTGTTTTTGTCTCATTGAACTACCGGCACTGCTTACGCTTACCAAACCAGCACTCACGTGGACACACAATTGAAATTCTCTTGGGGACGGTCAACTAGTATGCGCTCACGCGTACACAATTTAAGCGTTGAGATGGCCTTTTCTGCCGAACGAAAAATTATCTAATTCTCGGTCTAGCCTGCATTTCAGTATTAGAGGGTGTATGATCCCCGCGATTTGGGGTTAGCCTTGATTCTAATGCTTTCAGGTTTAAAATTGATTGCATAATTTGCATCGAAGTCATTTTTTCAAAGATGAGAATGAATTTTCTCCTTAGCAATTGCGTTCTTCAGCCCCCCGCTTCCGCTCCATATTCAGCGAATTCCCGTACTTCAATGTGGTGCAGAGCACCGTCTTCGATTGTGTTTACAATTCAGGTGGGGAAGTAATCTTATATTATTAACATAGATCTTATTCTCTGAGGATGTTAATGCAATATTTTCTTGACCACAAGCGGCATTTGCTCATTGGTCATTGCGTCCAGCAGCGTCTTGGTTGTAAGCGTCTCTGTTGATCCAGAAATACAATATAATTCAGATTTTGTTGAAGATGCCAGGACGCGTTCTTACCCATTGTGTTACGCGTTGGTGTGTTAGGAGCTGGGCAGTAGATAAGCTTGTTATTCGGGCGAGTATCCATTAAGCCTATATTATTAAGAAATGAATGGTATCAGGACTTTGATTCATCTATCAATGGTGGGATCACGAATCATTACAAAACTAGTATATTGGACGAACAAAATTGGAGTAAATGACATTTGTAGAAATTTCGATTTACCATCAATGAAATAATTGGTATTTTTAATAGCAAATCCGGGTTTTCTTGTTATATTAGGATGTGAACAGGTCATATTTTAGTTACCATGGGTCAGTTTTATGATTAATGTAACAGTTGGGACGACGATGTGCTAAATGTATTCTCAACACTCTGCTAGGGCATGAGTGGCATCGGCTGCTCATAACATAACATAACATAGTGATGTCGGCGCTGAAGAGTAGGCCTGATGGGGCCCGTCGCCGATTTTTTGAACTTTTCGTGACTTGTTTACTGAAGATCTAAATCTTGTCCTTTGACCGGATCTTTTCGAGACTGACGATAGTTTGAAATAGCTACCAGACTTCCGGGTTCGATATGGTGCTAGGCATTTCAAGTCTGAACATATATTTTTCCATGGCTTTATCAGTTCTTGATCTATATCAGTTCTTGAACGCGTTCATACTCGGAGCGCCACCGATGTAATCAGGGAGGTCATATTCCATTAGTTGTCAGCTCATGTATTGGAGTGCAGATGACAGCGTCGTAGTGTCGGCCCCCACGGGCTCCGGCAAGACGGTAGTCATGGAGCTGGCCATCATCAGGGCTGTGATGAACTGCTCCTGCAACACCAACAAACTCAAGATTGTCTACAGTGAGTCTTTCACGTCACTGTTGGCGCCTTTAACCCTTTTGTGTTGATGATTTACTCAGCGTTTCTTATAATCTATTTCGCGTGACGCACAATTGACGGAGGGCAGAGAGTCCTTCTATAATCTGTGGCCAGTGCAGGAGGGCAGAGAGTCCTTCTATAATCTGTGGCCAGTGCAGGAGGGCAGAGAGTCCT